CAGAATAGAAAAGGATAGGGCCAGGGATTTAGCTCAGTGGTTCGGTGGCCTGCCTTGCGAGCGCAAGGACCGGAGTTCAATCCCTGGTACCAAAAAAAAAAAAAAAGAATAGAAAAGGACAGCATCAGGGACCAGGCTAGCCTGGTGCGGCACGTTCCTCGGGGCCTCTTCCCATGACTCCTCTGAGAGCCCATGTACTTTTCTATGGTCGCCTCTAAGTGTCTCCTTGATGAAGGTTCAGGGAGACACTGAAACACCTCATTCTGCCGATGATGTTGCTGTGCTCAGAGACAGGTTCAGATGACATCATAGAAACGCTCCTTTTCAAAGTGCAAAATTCAGAATCTGTTCCCTAGTAGAGCTACAATAGAGTCCAACACACATCAGCAGTTCACTGTACTAATGGACATCTGCTTGCTTGTGGCCACCACCTGGAGAGCCCTTGTGATTGTAGAGGCCAAAGGAAACTTGTGTTGATCTTGCAGTGTCTCAGTAAGTTTGGTATTACAAATTTGTGCACATTTTTCTTTTCCTCGTGTATACATTTTTGAGGAGGCTACCATTTCCCAAGCATAGCGATTAGTTTACAACTGGAATACATTTCTGTAGATGAATCTAAGTTGTGCATTTTAATTCTCCTCTTCCCGTCCTGCCTGAGGAAGCGGCCTCCTTAGCAACCTCCATTGCATGAATAGCGCATGAGTGTCATGGGATCCGCTCTGACGCTTCCGTGCCGCTTGCCGCGGTGTGAGGGACTGTAGGGTGCACAGTAGCTGTGGGGTGAGAATGGTTGCTTTCAAAGTAAAACTTGTTATTTACACTTCCACAAAGGCTTTTGTGTACCTCATTAAAGGAAAACATTTATACTTTGGAGCGTGGGCTGTGCGGAAATGAGACGCGCGGGTTTATTTTCCCAGCATTTACACCGGGACGATCTGGGTGAGGCTGCAGCAACTGCGGCTGAGGAGAAGCAGCAGGAATGCGGTGCGGGATGGAGGAGTCCGGGCTGCTCACAGCCGTGTGGGGCCTCACTCCCCGGGGAGGCGGGCTGGGCTCATCACGAGCGAGCTGCACAGGGAGCGGGAGAAGAATAACATTTGGAAAGGAAAGTAATATCCTGGGCACTCAGAAAAGGACCCACTAAGGTAAGGTACTTCTTAAGGAATGCTGTGTGCGTGTGCGTGCATGAGTGTGCGTGTGTGCGTGCGTGTGTGTGCTCCTTATGCGTGACACACTTGGGGAAGTTCCGATCTGCTCTTGTGCAAGTGGAGTTAGGCAACTGGATAGTAAAGAGATTGAGTTAGTTATTTTGTTGCTCAGCTAAGTGTACAGTTAAATTACTAGAAACAGAAATGTGGTCGTACCAGTGTAACCGCAGCGTGTCCCCAGAAAAGTACCCAAGAAAATATCGTCAGTCCTGGGCATGCAGGTGAACTGGTCTTCGTGGTACGATTGCTCCTTTGAAGGACCCCACACCTACAGACTGTATTTCTTCCCTGCTGAGTATATCTTTTTAAAGATTGGATATTAGAGCTTTGACCCACACTTCTAAATTAATTGTTAGATATTAAATCAAACTGGTGCATTTTTCTTCTCAAAGATAAACAAGACCATCAGTTCAGCCTTAACTGGGAAATCATCTCACTGAATACTTCAAGGCATACATGCACTGCGCTGTCTCAGTGCTTTCCTTACCTCTGCAGTTGAGAAGGTTTCAGTGTTTGGTAAAGTTTCATGATTCTTAGAGCTTCTCTCCCAAAGCCATGTGCTGGTCCCCCTGGCAGATCCAGGTTTCCCTACCACGCCCAGCTGTGGTGGCTGCAGCCATGCCACTTGTGACAAAGCTTCTGCTGGAATCTACCTTCCTGATGGGACTATGTCTGCAGAGCCTCACACGCCGGCTCTGCTGGGACTGATTCATTCGGGGTGCAGCGTCAGGATTCGAGGTGAGCGCCCAGTGGTCCCTACACGGCACTGTGCTCCACAGCCTGGGCCCCGCGGGTTGTGGTTGAGAACAGGCGTGACCTCCTCACTGGCCTGGACGTGGTGTCTCCTGGCAGGGACTTGCCATCCTGAAGCCACCTAGCCTAGCTCTGAAACAGAGGATCCCACGAAACACTGGCACCGACACTGGTCTCTTTAGCTTACTGATAAAGGGAGCTGAAGGCTGTGAAGGCAGGTGGATGCACAGGCAATCTGGAGACGGGACTTTGGAACCTGAGGCGCATAAATAAGAGGTGAGAGAAGCGCCGCAGAAAACATGTTTATGAGGCCGATTAGAGCGGGAGCAGGTCCAGGACCAGTGCACTTCCAACACGTCTGGAAAAGGACGTGATGGAAATTACGTATGTATCAGACATGAAGGAGTGCTAACAAAAGCCTTCCTACCTGCTGCACTCCTTGATGAGATTCACGCTCTCTTGTGACTCTGCCTTTGGCCGGCGGCTGGCTCACACATTTTCATCTCTGGCCCAGACCTCCCTGAACCCCAGGTTGTATGTGGACCCTGCTTCCTCACGACCTTTCCAGGTGGAAGGCCCTGTGCTTGTCCAGCTCCTCCTGTCCAAGGTCAGGTCTCAATTCCATCTCTAGCCTCAGGCCGAAGCACTTATCTCAGGACTGCTCCACATGGACTCTAGCAGGAATGAAATACTGTGCTTGTAGCTTCAAGAGCTCCCACAGCCAAAACATTAGGCCTTGACTGACACCACTGCAGTCCAAGAAGATGCTCCTGCATCTACATCATCCCAGGAGCCCCTGACTGGCTTCCTTGGGAGCTGCAGCACAGCAGTGTGAACCTCTAATACTGTTGCTTATTCGCTCTGATGGCTTTCCATCTCACTTTCATCTACGTTATAAACACACATAGAGGGCCGGGGATTTAGCTCAGTGGTTGTGCCACCTGCCTCACAAGCGTAAGGTCCAAGTTCAGTCCCCAGTACCAAAGACAAAAACAAGACAAAAATGCATGAAGGATCAGAGTAGGTGTTTCTCATAGACATTGCACTAAGCACAGGAGAATACATATGACCAACACTATTTCTCTCCAGGGAAGTAAAACCACGATGCGAGATGACTTCATAGCCCCTAGAATGGGTGTAACCAAGAGGATGGTGACACGTGTTGGCAAGGATATGGCTGCACTGGAACCCTTGTAAATTACTGCTGGGATGTAAAATGGCATAGCCACTTGGGAAAAGCTCCGTGGTTTCTCAGAAGGATTTAATATTGAGATACAACATGGTCCAGCAACCCCACTCCTAGGTTATACTTAGAGGGACAGTGCATCATATAAAAACGTCAGTGTTCATAGCAGCATCATTCATAACAGCCGAAAAGTGGAAATGAGGAAAAAAAAAAAGATAAAAAAGTAGAAATGAGGTGAATGCCTATCAGCCGTGCATGGGTAATCTGGTCTATCCACATGACAGAGTGTTTTCCAGCCATAAAAAGGAATGGAGGACAGATACCTGCTACAGTCCGACAGACCTTGAAGCAATATGCTAAGTGAAGGAGACCAGTCATAAAAGGCTGCAGGGAGGATTCTGTCTATGTGAAATGTTCAGAATAAGCAAACCCTGAGAAACAGACTAGATCCACAGTCGCTGGGCTGGGGAAGGGAAATGGAGACTGACCCCTAATGGGTGTGGGGTTTCTTTTGGGGTGATGAACATGTTCTGAAATTCATGGTGATGCTTGCACAGCTCTTTGAATGTATTGAAACTATTGGCCTATACATTAAAAAAGGGTGACTGTTACGGCTTTAATCTGGGGCTTTTCAGAGGTGGCTGGATCTGGGGTGTGTGATTATGGATTAATCCACTAATTGGTTTAGCATG